GCCTCAAGCTGTCCCCCTGGGCAGAGTGCCGTGGCATTACAGCTCACAGCAACTTCCAACTCCTGGGCTCAAGCGAGTCTCCTGCCTCCGCCTCCCAAGTAGCTGGGACCACAGGCGCCACCACAACGCCCGGCTATTTTTTGGTTGCAGCCGTCATTGTTGTTTGGCGGGTCCGGGCTGGGGATTCGAACCCGCCACCTTAGGTGTACGTGGCTGGCTCCTTAGCCGGTTGAGCTATAGGCGCCGAGCCCCAAGATGGTTTCTTGGGAGAACTTTGTTTTTTAAGCATTCTAAAAATGCAACAAAATGAACTCGCATCTTTTGATATTTTTAAATTCAAGCTAGTTCAATTAACTCTGCAACTTTTTTATTTTTTAAGAAACAGAGTCTCCCTTTGTTGCCCTCCTTGAGTGCCTTGGCGTCACAGCTGACAGCAACCTCCAGCTCTTGGGCTTAGGCAATTCTCTTGCCTTAGCCTCCCGAGTAGCTGGTACTACAGGCACCCGCCACAACGCCTGGCTATTTATTGTTGCAGTTTGGCCGGGGCCAAGTTCGAACCTGCCACCTTCGCTATATGGGGTCGGCGCCCTACTCACTGAGCCACAGGCACTACCCATAACTTCTTTTTTTTCAACTTCACTCCTAAATTTCATGAAATACGGAAGGCTTTCCGAAGATCCTTACTTAGTTTATGCTACTAAAACCAGGAGCCTTTAAGGAGTTTAAAACCAAGTTGGAAAAGTCAAACATAGAATTACCATGTGGATCAGCAATAGCTACACTTAGGTTTATACCAAAAAGAACTGAAAATAGATATTCAAACAAATACTTGTACATGAATGTTCATAGCAGCGTTATTCATTTTAGTCAAAAAGAGGAAACAATTCAGTTGTTGAACAACTGTTGAATGGATGAATAAAATGTGATCCATCTAGTGGAATATTCAGGTATAAAAATAGATAGAAAGTGTTGGTAGAGGCTACACCAAAATTACCGTTAAGGAAAAGAAGCCAGACACAAAAGGCCATATGATTCTATTAATATGGAACTATTAATAGGTAAATCCATAGAATCAGAAAATAGATTAGGGGTTGGCAGGGGCTGAAGGGAAGGGAGAAGCAGCTAACTGGTTCCAGGGATTTTGGGGGGGGGCCGGGGGGGAGGGGACGAGAGGTGATGCATGTTTTGGAAACAGGCACACACAGAGGGGGGATGGTTGCACAACATTAGGAATGTATTACACCCACTAAATCGTGAACTTTAAAAAGGTTCATGCACAGATTTTACTTCAATACAAATAAACCGAATTGGTAGCTAAGATATTGAAACGCCGTGCGGACTGGTCCTCACACTCGGCATTCCCAGACGAGTCCCAACTCGTTGGCGGGATACCACCGGATTTAGTAGAGAAGCTGGGAGGCGGGCCCTTCGCCACCTCCCGGGCTCCGACCACTCTGCGGCGGCTTGGGGGCGTGGCCTGGCCCAGGGGCGGGGCGCGACGCGGAGGCCGGGCGGGGTTGCGTCCCGCGACCCGCTTCACCGGTTGCCGGGAGAACCCCAGACAACAAAAGGCGCGGCCGGCGGCGGCGCTGCACAGCTAAGTCGAGGAGTCCAGCGCTCGCCGCCCGAGACCGGGGCTTTCCCCAGCCGGTCAGTGCGCCGCGGGCCGGACCGGGCGGTGAGGGGAAGTGGGGCGGCCTGCCGCCTGCTCTCCCGTCCGCTGTGCCGGCGTTCCCGGTCCGCCGTTGGGGGGAAGGGGCATCGGCCAGGGACCAGGGTTGGCGTGGGGTGGGTTGGGGAGGCGGTTGGGGCGCCAGCGAGGCCGAGGAGGCCTCCCAGGGGGACCCAAGGTCGGTGCTGGGAGCGGGGCGAGCGGCGGGAGGCAGAGCGCCCCTATCTGAGGTAGAAGGGCCCAGGGAGCTGGGACGCGACAGAACGCGGGGCCGACCCCCTCCGAGTGGACCTGGTGTACGTCTAGTGTTTATACGTCCCCCTGCGGACAGGAGCGGCGGGGACCTGCCACAGTCTCTGAGGGTTTCGTTTTGTCACAGGCCTCCTTTTCCCGTCGTGGAGATTGAGCTTTAGTGCATTCTACCGCTGTGCAAGTCGGAAAGACCCCTTCCTCATAGGCGGGTGATAATAGAAAGAGAAAGGAAGCCCAAAGTACTATTGTTACTTTGAGACAGAGCCTCACTGTATCGCCGTCGGTAGAGTGCTGTGGCATCACAGCTCACAGCAGCCTCAAACTCTGGGACTTAAGAGATTCTCTTGCCTCAGCCTCCC